CAGACTCTTCTGCTTCATTTCTCCCTCCTTTCTGGATTTTGGGCATGCATGCACACTTGCACGCTTGGCGTGTGTCTCAAACTGCTGCACATGGGACTCACGCTGCTATCAGTCATGTGAGACCTGGCTTCTTTAAGCACTAGGCCATGGAACCAAGCCAAGGAAAGTGAAGGGGTAGAATGTAAAAAGTAAAATTTTGTCCTAATCAACTAAAATTCTCTGTCCCATTGGCTATTACAGATTAAGAAAGAAGCTTGGGCTTCTAATGACAGTTTCAAGTCATTAGTGTTTAGGCACGGATAAAACTTTGGGTGTACGTTGGATTATACAGAGAAAGTGTGTAGATTAAAAATATAGGACAAGAAGAAAGATATGGAAGACTAAAGATGAAAACCAATGTTTCATTAACTTGCAGTTTATACTTTGTAGGCAAAGTCTACTTGTCTGCAGGCCTAAATTTCCTTCCATTTGCCTAAGACTTTTTCTCTTTAGAAATTTTTAGTCTTAAAACTGCCTTTAGTAAGAAAAATACAACATTTATGAGTCACGAATTTCGTGCTTAATCATATAATAGCGAAAAGCCATAAAACCTCTGGGAAGATTATATTCTTCACTCATTCTTAAGGTTCAAATGGAGTATGATTATAAAGTAATAAGATTTTAACACAAGTATTGCTAAAAGAAGTGATACTTCAAAGAGATTTTATAGCACTAGATTCTGCTATAGCCCAAATATTTTCAAAATTAATCTTTTGGAAGAGTTTTTAGAGAGTTTTAACATTCTACTTTCCATAGTCTTTTCCATCTTTTTTCTTAGGTCATCAGGAAAGTCATAACATACATTTCTATATCTTCCTATGCAAAAATGCATCATGACGTTCCCAACAACCCAATAGCTTCTAAGGGCTGCCACAAATCGGGTTGCTTAGAGTGACATTTCAGTTTTCTTACTATTCAAGGTGAGGGCAAGGCCAGATTCCCTCTGGGAGAACAAGGGAAAATCCTTCCATGCCTCTTCCAGCTTCTGGGGTCTCTTGTGATAGTCCTTGACTTACAGCTTCATCACCCCTGTCCCTGCCTCCATGTCACATTGTCTTCTCCACATCTGTTTTCATCTTCTTTTGTTTCTTACATAGTCATTTGTCATTTGTTTAAGGGACTACCTGGATAAGCCAGGATAAGCTCATCTTGAGATATTTAATTATATCTACAAAGACCCTTTTCTAAGGGTCACATTTATTTTCAAGGAATTGGGACATAGACATGTTTTAGGAGGCCAACGTTTAACCACTAAACCACCTTAGACCTATACCTCTCTCCTCATTCTTTTTTTTTTTCTTTTTTTTTTTTTAATCACAGTCTTCCCTTTTCTCTTCCTCTCTTTTTTCTCTTTGATTGAACAGTCTGAGCACTCATAGAAAAGTTCGTTTTCTAAAGGGAGAGGGTGCCTGGGTCCAGAAATTGAACTTGCACTCTCAGAAATACATTAAGGAGCAGACAATCCTGTACTGGCAGCCTAGTAAATGCTGTTAAGGGGAACATAAGAGCAATTAGCTCAAACATAAATATAAGAATTAGAAGATAAATGGGTAAAAAACACCTACGAGGGGTGTGTGTGTATGTAGTCTGTCCATTATGTATGTCTTTTAAATTCTTTTTTAAGTTTATTTATTTACTCCATTAGAGTGAGAATCAGAGAGGGTGGTAACACCAACTGGGTCTTCATGTTGCAGTCAGGGGCATGTGTGCATGTACCAAGCATATTCAAAGTTTAAGAATTAAGGACCTTTCCCATGTAGGTCCAGTTGTATTGGCACTGTGCCACAACCTGGCCCCTGTCTTCAATTTTTAGTAATGTTATAAAAGAAGATAATAAAAAGATTAATTTAAATCATTAAAATTTACATTCTAACTTCTTTCACCTGTATTTGAAGCTCTTAACAAAGTTTTAACACTCATTTTAAAGATAGATATTAAAGAAGAAATTGAAGATGAAGAAAAGACAATCGAAGATTATGTTGATAGGAAGATGAGTGATGCCAATTCCACTTCAATTGAAACTATGTACACTGTTGCTAGTCAGTGTTTGCATGAAAAGAAAAATAAGAGACCAGACATCAAGAAGGTATTAAGTTTTTTACACTTATTTAAGAAGTGACAGAGGTAGGGTTCATATTTTTCCCTAAATGTACATTGCAAACCATCTGTTATGTGATTCTTTTGTTTTCTTTCTTTTTTAAAGGTTCAAGAGCAACTGCAAGAGATAACTTCTTCTTAAAGTTTTATTGAAATAGGACCAGCAGGTGACGTAGTGGTTTAAGCACTGGATTCCCACATGGACTACCATGGTTCAAGTCCTGGACCCTGAAGATTGAAACAAACTGGGCACATGTGCGTGCGTGCCCCGAATCCTGAGAGGAGAATGGAGGAGGGATTGTGGTGTGGCCATCCTCCCTGGCAGTGATTTTCGCTTTCTCTCTCTATGTCTCTCCAGTGAGCACCTGTGCCCTATAGCAAAACTCTCTCAAAGAAAATTTTATTGAAATAGACTGTTGACTTTTTATGTATAGCTATCTAAACCATTTTTTAAAATTTTTCTTCTAAACATTCTTCTTTACCTTTACCAAGGCAGTATCTTGATTATTAAAGCATGTGTTAAACCTTCAACATATAGGACAAATAAAAGTAGAACTATCATGTCAACACTTTGCCCTACCTAGCAATACCTAGATCACCCTCAGTTCTTGCAGTAATCCAGGGTTAGACTACACCTGAGGATAGCTCATGCATCTCCCAGGTTTCGGAGAACTACCAGTTAGCACATGCCTCAGATCTATTTCTACTATTCAGTTTCTCAAATCAAAGTTCAGTGAAAAAAATGTATACTATTATTTGTTTTACTATGGCCATTATTCCTAAATAAAGCACTATTTAAGCAGTTTCCAGTTACTTTCTTTGGAGAACTTTGTTATTACTGAATTACCTTGACTGTTGGGAAGATGTGGTATGTGTGTGGCCTGTCCATTACAGAAATAAGCAAGCACAATGAAGTGGACTCCAAACCATCAGACATGTAAATGTCCCTGTTGTGTCCCCGAATGTGTAATAAGCAAGTATGATAAATATTTTAATTATAGTTTTGTTATAAATATAACTTATGAGAAAACATTTGATAGGGATAATACTATATATTGCTAATTTTTATCTCTACTGGCAAACCTTACAATTCATAGACTTTACTCATATACAATATTGAATTCATAGCAGTCTAATGACTGGTTCAATTACAGTACATTAAGTGCTTTCCAAGCAAAACTCTCAAGTCTGAGTTAATATTTCTAGTTCTTCTTTTAGCTGTATGTTCTTAGTATTGTTTTTTTTGTTTGTTTTGTTTTTTTTTTTGAGAGGTTTTTGCTATAGGGCGCATGCGCTCGCCAGAAGAGACAGAAAGCGAGAAATCACCCGCCAGGGGGATAGGCCATGCCGCAATCGCTTCTCCTCCGTTCTTCTCTCGGGATCTTGGGCACGCACGCACACGCGCCCGGCATGAGTTTTAAGCCGCTGGGTCCGGGACACGAACTGCGGTCGACTACATGGGTGTCCAGCAACAGCCATTATGATAACTGCTGGTCCCACTATCGGGGTTTCTTATGTACTTCATTCACCTTTGAGATTTGAAAGCACTGTATGTGGAAGAAAGCCAGGAAATACTAGGAGAGATTGAAATAGTTAAAAGTTTTACTTTCAGAGATATGACCTTCACAGGGCAAGAGACTCTGTCAGCACCAGTGAGATTTGTCTAGGCTAGAAATAAAGAGTAAGGCTCAATGCTCTCGTGTACTTAACCACCATGGCACATGCTTTCACAGCTGTTTAAGAAAGGTAAACTCACTCATGCAAGTATTTATTCAATAGTGTTGACCATGTCCTAGAAACTGCCCTAAATGCTAAGGATGCAGCAGTAAGTAAAACTTAAATTCCATGCCCTAATCGGGCTTACACTTTGGTGGAAGAGAGAATTATTGTAAGGAAATGACACTGAACAGAGCTCTGCATTGAGGAAGAAATGGAGATACAGGGTTAGAGTGATCCACTATGGGAACAGCATTCAACCTTCCTAAAACTCTGCTTGGTCCACTGGAGGGACAGCTGCCAACGAGATGGAGCAAACTGACCCAGGAAAGGGGATTGAGCCATAGGCACAGTCATGTAGAGGCTGGAGGCGACAGAAAGGACACTGTTCTATAGGATACTGCCACTGTATGCCAGTACACCATAATCTGTTTGGTGGCTGAGATGGGGGAAACAGCCACAATTTATATCATTTAAGATAACATGTTCCCAGTCATGACAAATGTAAATCACTTGTGGAATTATTTGATCCCTGGACCCAATTTACTTTATCAAAATCTGTATGAAACCCTAGAATCGGAACCTCCCATCTTTACAATGTATGGCATACATGCAAGAAAAATGGGATAGAACCAAACTATTCAGTTAGTACACCTCACACATTATTTCAGTACTGAGTAGAAATGCCTTAAAGAAATGCCAAAATAACTCTTTTGAAAGATATTTCTCCATCTTTTTAAAAGTGCTAAGGAAGACATCCATTTTATAACACATACCTTATAAAAAGAATGTATTTGATACAGAATTACACAGAAGTGCATTCATTTTTTGAATGGAAAGTCTCTTAAGGTTTAGTGTCAAGTAAGTTAGTTGGTCACTATTGTAGTGGGATTGATTTCACCACAGCAGGAACTGAGTAACTCATAATTACTGATATAACAGTGGGAAAGTTCCAAATTAAGCACTATCTAAATCCACAACTCTTCTTGCCTACATTTCAAATCTATTTTGGACTTAGGCAAGCCAATTACAGAACGAATAGATGAAGGGGATTTCTATCCTATCACCAGGTACTGAATTGTGCCTAATTAGCCCAACATTAAAAAACAAAAGGTAGAGTAGAAAGCCAACTTAGAACATACGCAAACGAAAGAGAAAAAAATTTTATTGTGATATAAAATGCACTTATAAAACGTCCACAGAAGGCATGTAATTCTTCACTGCTATATAAATTTATTGGGAATATGTTATTCACCATCTAGTTATGATGATGCCACCTAAAACATACTGTAAACGATGAGTTATACTCTGTAAGAAATGCATCACTGATTTTCAGCAATCATTAGTTTAATAGTAATTAGTTTAAGACTATAATCACAACTACATTCTGGAATGTCCATTTACTTTCATGTAGTGTAGTGAAATTTGGAATATAATTGCACATGGATGGTACTGAACATTCACTACTAAATTATTTTGTACCTTCATGACAGGTAACATTCTTCCTGACTGAAAATAACAGCGTCAGCTACGGTCTGCAACATTGCTCCTGGATTTCATATTGCAATATTTTGTGTTATGTGCATCTGTCAGTGTGCGCATCCATGGAACAACTTAAAGTGTATCATTAGTAAACAAGTGCAACATTTCTGTTGATTATTTTGCATGTGTAAATATTACAGTCTGATTATTTGTAAACAAATAAAACCCCACACAAATACTCTTAATTCTACTAAAAAAAAAAAATCTGTCAACCCATAATTATTCTAATCCGTTTTTCCTTATTTGAACACACAATTATTTTCTGAAAGGTGCATATATTACCTTAGAAAATAAGGTTTAGAAATGAGTGCTTCAGATATTATACTATGAAATGTGCATTTCTGGTATTTGTTATATGCAGCATAAAGTTTAGATCAAGAAATTCCAAATCCTGGACCCCCCACAGTACATTTAGAAAATATTCTTCAAAGTTAATGGCTCTCGCAGCAGATTTAACAGATTAAATGTTAAGTGTTCTCGCTCCTCTATTTCAAGTATCAAAGAAATCACATGAGGCTCAGAATCTTTCTAGGGTGTAACTGAAAATGCAAAGCTTTAGAAAACATTTACAAGTGTACTGAAAAGATATTTACTGAAACAAGATTCTTACTAAGTGTTTATCTATGTTAGGCTGATAAGTACTAGACTTTAAAAGAATTTTAAGTCTAATATATTTCTTCAATTGATAAAGAATATAATTTGCTTCCAAATGTATGGTTTTGGAGTAAAACAAAATCAATCTTGATGTTTAAAACTCAAATTATTCACTTTAGTTTTGTTTCCTTGTGAATAATAATTTAAACTTTAATAACATAAATATTTGGCCTCATAGTCCTTATAATGAAATGACTTATTCTGGAAATGAAAATGTTCTAAAGCACTATAAAGAGAATTTACTAAGGCTGTTTAAAGTCTGTCAGTGTCATCGGACTCCTATAGTATACAAAGTATCTGGTACCCTTAAACTTTCAGAGTGAGCTAATCTTCTGAAATTTCAATGCCACTAAAAAAACAAAAAGTCAAATAGGAAAGACTGCTGCAATAAAGCACTGTTTTTAAAAGTTGCAGACATGATCACACAGTCTGAGAGAGTTAGCACAGTTCCTCAGATTAAGCGACTTCCCAAATATTCTTAGGCACACCAGATTTTCAGTTTATAAAATAATCTAGCCTGGTCCTTAATATAGGCATTAAATATGAATATATTAAGGTCTTTCTGTCTCAAAAAAAATCTTATGTCTCACTGAAGAGTACTAAGAAGTATATCATACTTGGAGACACTAGACTTTCTGGAACTGGCCCACCTGTATAAAATTTTAAGAATTATGTGAAAGTGTGGAATCAACACTCCATGAAAACAGTGACAAAATTAAACATTACTATGTTGAACCCTTTAACTCAAAAATAGAAATCATAAGTCTTTTATAACATTAATTTTAAAAACACACAGAAGTGAAAAGTGCTATTTTTCAAAAAGTACAATTTTCCCTACTATGTATCAACATGGAATGATTTCAGTTCTCCTGTACTAAAAGTTGGACTTTTAAAAAACTAGTATTGTAGTTAAATATAGTGATTTTAATCAGTAGTGGCTTCAGTTTCAGCTGGACCCCTAATTAGTCTTCGAATTCCTCTTTTTCCTGCAGGACCTTTGGGTTTTGCAAAACTTTGCTTGTGTGCATGCTGCTTAGGATGTACTTCTTCATAAAGGAAGTCTGCAGTCAGTTCATCCCCATTGTCTATCTCGATCTGTAAAAGATGAAATTAGTGTGACTCAAGCTACAGGTATGACTGTTTACAAATAAATATGTAATATGTAATAAATATGTAATACTCATGCATGCAAGACAGAATCAAGCTCTATTTGTAAACAGTTTTGCTTTCCTTTTGGGGGAAAATAAATAAGTTACTTGAATATATGACCAGCTATAATCACTTCCTATTTGGCTCCTTCTTACTATTTTAATTTAAATGTTAAAAGAAGAAGCCACTACCATATTCTCAAATTGCTATGCTACATATTAAAGAAACATACTCATGGCCCTTCATCATTTGGGTCACCTGAAATTACTCTAGAACAGAGATCAACAAACCAAGACCCAAGGCCAAATGAAACCCCAGTTACAGTTGTTGGGCCAACCCTACGGCCTAGTGGTTAAAGGAGCCACATCTCACATGGTTGACCATGGTTCCAAACTTGGCTATGGCAGCTTAAAAAAACATATCCAGAACTGGCAGAACAGAAAAGGGATGAGGAGTGACAATGCCCCATTGCAGGGAGGGCCTTTCTCCCTCTCCCTCTCTCTGTCTCTCCGGCAAGCTCACACACTCTCTAGAAAAAAATAAAATAAAAAAAAAATGTTTCACATTTTTAAAGAGTTGTTAAGAAACATCAAAAAGAATATGTGATGGAGACAATATTTACTATGTGATTCTTTACTGAAAAAGTCAGTTGACCCCTGCTATAAAAGGTGGTACCCATGCTAAAGTTATTCTTAGAATCTGAAGAACTGTGAAGGGTTAAGTTCCTAAGACACTAGTAGTTTGTTAAGACTTGTATTTTAAGACTTAAAGGGCTTAAGAGTAAACCTTATCTTTTACCATGCCTCATCTATATTTAAAAGAAAAAAAAATTTAAGAAAACCGGTAGTGTAGTTCCCCAAATTTAAATGTTTATACTTATCCCTGGTTCCCCAACAACTGGAAAGTTTCCCAGTCATCTCATGATTCACATTTATGAAGGGAGATTGCAGTTCCTTATTAATAAGGAGCCTGGAAACAATCCCAAGTATGTGGCTCTAACACCACTGTCCCACAGGACTATTCACACTGTTAAAATGCTCTATAAATTCCACACTACCTAATACAGTAGTTACTAGTGACAAGTGGCTATGGGCTCTTGAAATATGGTTAATCTGAATAAAGAATTGAATTTTAAATTTTAATGAAATGTATATTTAAAGTTAAATGACCACATATGGCTTGTGGCTGCTATATTAGAAAGTACAGATATATAAGAGAAATGAGGATCATGATAGATCATCCCCAAGTACTTGGAGTAGAGAAGATCCTAATGATTTAGGATAAAAATAAGTAAAATACGTATTTCCATTTATAAATCACAGCACATCATGAGCTACATGGAAATGACAAGGCAAATCTAGCAAATAATGAAGATTTTAAAACAGATTGGGTCTACCTTTCTAATTACATCCATTTGTAGTTGTCGTTCTACAATTTCTAGCAGAGGGCTCTTGCAACTAGAATACAGCATCCGTTCTCTTATACTGCATGTGTATCCAGGCATTGAATAAATAAAAACTGTAAGTTAAAATGATAATAGCAAACATAATTAGCAGCATATCAGTTAAACCAAGTATATGTAAGCCTTAAATAACTACAATTAAGGGGCCACCAGGAGGTATATAGGTTAAAGAGGCTAGATACCACATAGCCAACTGTGTGGTTTAAATCCTGGACCCAGCAGCTTGAATATCATGCCAGGCATGTCTGTGTACCTGCCAAATATCCCAAGAAGAGATGGAGGATAAGGGATTACAATGTGGCCATCCCTGCTGTGGGGAGAGGCATGATTTCTCATTCTCTCTCTCTCTCTCTCTCTCTCTCTCTCTCTCTCTATCCTAATGATTTAGGATAAAAATAAGTAAAATACGTATTTCCATTTATAAATCACAGCACATCATGAGCTACATGGAAATGACAAGGCAAATCTAGCAAATAATGAAGATTTTAAAACAGATTGGGTCTACCTTTCTAATTACATCCATTTGTAGTTGTCGTTCTACAATTTCTAGCAGAGGGCTCTTGCAACTAGAATACAGCATCCGTTCTCTTATACTGCATGTGTATCCAGGCATTGAATAAATAAAAACTGTAAGTTAAAATGATAATAGCAAACATAATTAGCAGCATATCAGTTAAACCAAGTATATGTAAGCCTTAAATAACTACAATTAAGGGGCCACCAGGAGGTATATAGGTTAAAGAGGCTAGATACCACATAGCCAACTGTGTGGTTTAAATCCTGGACCCAGCAGCTTGAATATCATGCCAGGCATGTCTGTGTACCTGCCAAATATCCCAAGAAGAGATGGAGGATAAGGGATTACAATGTGGCCATCCCTGCTGTGGGGAGAGGCATGATTTCTCATTCTCTCTCTCTCTCTCTCTCTCTCTCTCTCTATCCTTTCTCCCTCCCTCCCTCTAGGGAGTGCATGCACTCTTTAGCAAACTAAAAACAAAACAACAAAATACCCCTATAATTAAGCACTCTGGGCAAAAAATAAAGAGGACTTTAGTGCTGAAGTAACAATAATAACCAAATAGTAACATGTTAAAAACAATATATCATATACCTATGGACTCTAAATAGTCTCCTTCATGGGAATGCTTATACAGAAAGAAATGGTAACGTGCTGAATCCTTGGGAATCCTCTTTGGCAAATCTTTTAGTTCTGTATTTGTAGTGCTGGCCAAAATTATAATTTCATTTTTTATATCTATTTCCTGTCAATAAGAAATAACATATTCATTAAAACAATTACACATAAAATCCAAATTTTATAATTATAAAACTTAAGAGACAGGGGGACTTACACAGTTTTGGATAGTTTGTCTTTCTCATAACAATTGCTTTTGTTAAGTTAATAAAAAATTGAATAAAAATAAGGAAGCAAATGAAAAATTTTAAATCCAATAGAAATAAACTTTATACAACCAAAGTTACCATAAAGAGCAGCCATTTCATAATAATCATTGTACATCTCTTACCAACTGCACATAGTTGAGCTGTCTGTTATTCAATTTTTCCAAAGCCTGAAAAGCTTCTCGAGAAATAGGAAATGCTACTCCTTGTAGGGTTTGATGCTTAGTGTCCACACTCACATCAGTCTGTACCTAAACATGACGGATTTAATTTACTGATAAAGTTTTAGCATCCAGACGTGTCACATGGCAAACACAGGAAAGCTTAACCTCTATAAAACAGTAAACATCATTCAATTCTTGTTCAACCTAGAATTAAAATACTTATAGAACTATGAACTTCAAAAGCAAATTATTTTTCACTTTTGTTTATGGTCCTGCGAGCACTTTGTCAACATGCAGAGTGCATGATACATTTATATGAAAATGTTGGGAGTGAACAGTCGAATGTGCAGTGTTAGTGAGGTTTTAAGGGTTTTTCTTCATGTTTGCTTTGATCCTATTTCATTGAGCTACATAAGCTTTTTAAAGTATCATCTGATTATACCTTTCATTAAAAAATTTTACTTGCCAGAACTTAAGAGCAATAATACATGTACAATATGTATATAACTTTACTTTGTTCTGTTGGAACATAAAATGCAACACAAACACCATGCACTGAATTGAAAGAAATACAAACGGTATACAAAGACACAACACAGCTTAACAAGTTGTACTACTGCAGAAGTTCCAGACTTAGAGCTTTCTTTAACTAAGAACATGAGTACATGTATTGGAAGAGGATACTTCAAGAAAGCTTAAGAACAAGAGTGTGCATGTACTGGAAGAGGATACTTCAAGAAAGTATTTTTTTCATTTTTCAATGCAAATTTAAGATTTTTATACTGGATAAATGACAACTAGAATAGGGTTTCATTTGCAGTGTTATAATAGAAATCAAACAGAAATTTCACTTTAAAAAATGAATGGAGATTCTACAGCATAAATGATATTGGATAATGAAAACATTATAGAACATATGCAAATGCATACCCCAATACGATCCTCTGGGTTCTGATTGCAAGGAATAAAACAAACTATCAAACTCGTAAAAAAAAAAAAAAAATCACATAAAAAACCCTACTCAAATAACCTGAGTTAAAATAATATATGACAGATCCTTGCTGCCAGTTTAGTATTAAATGATATTCAACCATTTTCCAGACCAATTCTTAGTCTGTTAGGCTATTAAATAGTGATTTCAATTACTTGTTCTTTTCTGTAAAATCCCCAGAGAAATACAGGTTACTAAACATTTAATTAGAATGGTTGCAGAAAACACAGTAAAAACATGGTTAACTATAATATGACTGAAATTTATTGAATCTAATATGATCAACAACAAGTACTGAAACAATCTTTTATATATATCTCCATCCAAGTATTCATAGAAGTTAATTTATAGGCTTCTAGAAATCTTTCAACATTCTCTAGCATTTATATTTGATTCTCTTTAGTTATCACTATTCTCTGAAATAAAATAAACAAAAAAACTATTTCAGGCAACCTTAGAAAATATACTCTGCATTAAATGGGTAACAACACTTTATCATTCATTAATATTCAAATTACAAAGTTATCAATAATCATACTTCCAGTAGAAAGATCTTATAGGGCCAGCAGGTGGTGTAGTGATTAAGACTCCCACCCACATGGACAACTACAGTTTGAGTCCCAGACACAGCGGCTTGAAACAGGCTGGGTGCATGTGCATGTGTGCCCAAAAGTCCGAGAGGAGAATGGAGAAGGGATGGTTGTGTGGCCATTCCCCTTGTGGGGGGATGGGGTCCTCAATTTCTCTCTGTGTGTGTTTCTAACAAGCACACACCCCTATGGCAAAAATCTCTTTAAAAAAGAAAGAAAAATCTTGGGACCAGCAGTAAGCATAATGGCTATGTTGCTGGACTCCCATGTAGTCGACCGCGGTTCACGTCCCAGACCCAGTGGCTTAAAACTCATGCCAGGCACGTGTGCGTGCGTGCCCAAGATACCAAGAGGAGAAGGGATTGCAGCATGGCCATCCCCCCTGGGGGGTGATTTCTTGCTTTCTATCTCTCTGTCTGTCTCTGTGTGTCTGGCGAGCGCACGTGGCCTATAACAAAAACCTCTCAAAAAAAAAAAAAAAAAAGATAAAAGAACAAAAAAAAAAAAAAGAAAGAAAAATCTATTCTGACACACTCATCATAGGAGGCTACTTATGAAATAGATATGGAACTCAGAATTACTTTCTCCTGAAAACACATTAAGCAAATAGTCTCATATTTAAACAGAATAAACCTAAGATATCTAACCTCTTTATTCTCTGGTCATCTCTACACTTATTACTTAAAAATATGGTATTTTCAAATACTCAAAATGTTGCAAGGTTTTCACAGTTGTAATTTACCTCATTAATTTTAATCTGTCGTAATTCTTCCTCAGCTGCCGTCAGTGGGGCAGGGGAAGATTGTGACAACAAATATTTTTTATATCCATGTAATGACACATCTTCCTGTAAGCACAGAAATGGACTACAATCAATTATTCTGTAGAAGTAAAAACCAGAGTGAAGTTACTTTAAGAAACACAAAATCATTAACGGAGGATATTTTAAATGAAAATAAGTAGCATTAAGAATTTCATCTCTCTCTTTACTTTTTTTTAATCCTCTATTTTAAAGGTTTCAAGACATTTTTAAGTACCTGCTTTTGATTTCCTTAAGTTTTATAATTATTAAATCTTTTATATGAGTTGGGTGGTGGTGATACCAGATAAATAATGAATGTTAAGACTTGAATCCTGACCATCTAAGGTAATTAACCTTCTAGGGAAATTTGCCCATAGTTACTTAATAAACAAATATTCAAATTCTAATTTCTGTATTATAACAGCTTATATTTTCTATAAAATTATTCACAGAAAGTATAGTTTTATATTTAAAAAAAAACTTCAAAGCAATCTAGAATAAGAATTTGTTGGTTTGGAAGGCTGAAACTCACAGACCTGAGACTAACCCACCTCACCATTAACAATCAATAGTGGACAAGTAACATACTCCCATCCAGTGTTGTGCTCTAGCCATTAGATCATATTACCTTCTAAATCATAAAAGCTCTAAAAAACAGACACACAAAATATCTCTTCAAAATATATTTCAGTTATTGTGTATGTCTAAATACAGGAATCTACCATATAAATATTTTAGGAGGAAAGTATATTTTAATAACACTTATTTTCACTGTCAGATACAAATGAATGCAAAATTACATATTCAGTAGGGTCAACTTGCACATCATATAAAACATAACAGTATTTTCTCTTATGTTTATAGTCATCCATATGAATTCATATAAATTACCTAGGAGTTTATTTTTAACCATTTTAATAGCAAAATGTAGACTATAAATAAGAATATGCTTGTACCTTTACTGTTCCAAATACTTCATCTTTAATGTGACCACCTCCAAACTCCTTTTTCAGAGTTGCTCGTGTTGCTGCATACAGCATTTTTTGACGAACCTATTCGGGTATGGATGTACACATATGAAAACAAATCGTTAAAAAAGTACATCTGAATGTATTAAAATCTTCAAGTAAATCAAAAGTAAAATAAACTGTGATAAAGCTGAAGCCAATGACCATAAGATGCTAAAGTATGTATACAAATAACTATATTAACATGAGCGTTTAAACCATCATTGGCTATTTAAGGTAAATTTGAATTTATAATATTATATATTTTTAAAAAGTTAAAAATAAATAAAATCCTAAAAACTCCTCATTTTTCAAAATATAAAATAAGTTCAAGGATAAAACTATATTTGAAAAACATTATAAAATGTGGGAAAGAAACATGAAATAACTTTAGTAGTGACATTTTTCTCAAAGCTACTGATATAGAGGCTGGCAGGTGGCATGTTGGTTAAGGGCACTGGACTTCCACTATGGTTGACCATAGTTCAAGTCCCACATCTGGCAGCTTGCTTTCTTGCTTTCTCCTCTCTCTCTCTCGGTCACTCTGTCCCTCTCTGGTCAAATTAAAATAAATAAATAAAGTTAAATAAAATAATTATTTTTAAAAAGCTACTGATATAATAGATCAGATATTATTAGTTGTTAATCAAATATTCATGGTCTACCTATGGCATATACCATTCTGTGAGGGATACAGGACAAAAAGAAATACAATATATACTATTATTAAAATTATTAAAAAGTCTACTAGTATCTATGGAAAGCTACTACCAACTAACAGAAAGAATTTCATAATCCTGCATGGTCAAATCCAATATTCCTTTTAGACAGGATATGTAGAATTAAGAATTAAGAATGGGATGATCTTTGAGAACAAAATCTAAATACAATTTTTTTTATAAAAAACATGAGAATTAATCATTACGATATTGGGTAGTATTCACATATTAATTTTGTTTTTTATTCTATGTAGTCGCCTACTGAAAGAAACACGTTTTATTTTTTTAGAAAAATTTTTGCTATAGGGCATGTGCGTTTGCCAGAGAGACAAGATAGAGAGAAAGCGAGAAATCACCCGGGGAGTGGGGGGTACAGTCATGCAGCAATCCCTTCTCTTCCATTCTCCTCTCAAGATTTTGGGCATGCACACACACATGCCCAGCATGAGTTTTAGGCTGCCAGGTCCAAGACTCGAACCATGGTTGACTACATGGGAGTCTGGCAACGTAACCATTGCACCACCTGCTGATCCCTGAAAGAAATATTTTTGGTTGCATGCCCATCACTTGAATGGTGGCTATTAATATATGGTGAACAGTAACAACATTTAATATAATGTTCAATTAGTTCTCATTATAATTATCACTTTCAGGGCAAAGTAGTTAGCTTCATTCTTCAGAGGTTCATACAATCATTTACAATTGCCAAACATTAAAATTTTAAATCCATACTATTTCTTTTGATTTCAAAGGCAAAACTTCTGAATCTAAGCACATGACTCCTAATTCCACATAACCAATCCAAGGATTTTCTCCATTATCATTCCCTTCTATAAGAAATGACTATTGCTTCTTAACTTTTATTTGGCCTACACGTATTTCAGAAAAAATTCATTTTAGCATTTATTATTAAACAAAGTATAAAAAACTTACTTACATGAGAATGATCTGGAGACCATGCAATGAATATCCATTCATAACCCTGGGCATTCTGAGAATCTAATCTGAATAATATATAGCATGGCTGTTTATCCTCCAACAGTGGTAAAACAAAGGAATCATAATCCTTCTCCCAGGAATCTGAAGGCTGACTACATGATCCAATTACAAGTTGCTCTATGAAAAATAAATTTTAAAAAGATATGTAAATAGTTTGAAATAATAAACGGTAGTGTGTGATGAAGACCAGAAAAATAATGCATAAATACTTCCAAATTATGAGTCACCTCAAAAAGTTGAAAGGAAAACGGTAGCAACACAGAAAAGAGTTTTTTATAATGTATTATGGAAAACAGATAGGAAGATTCGATGAATAGTTAATATATCTGTACGCACACATACACACATACAGCACAAGAAAGGAACATAAAAAAATGACTATAGCAGTTAGGTTGAAAAGTCAAACGATGGGTGATTATATTTCCATTTACAAAATATTTATACTATAAATGATCAACAAATATAAGTAATCATACTACTACTTATCAGCATAGTTTCTGAAATTAACATTGAATTATACAGTGGAACTATTAACAAAACTAGGTTTAGCTCCTCTTTGGCAATAATGCCACAGGTTTTTAAAAACTGCCTAGAAGTATAAACAGTCACTTTTCTGAAATGTGATTTGGTAAAATAACATATTTTGCATAGAAAAATCTCTTGCACATTTACTATAGCACTTTACAGTAACAGTGAAAACAGGAAATAGCCTTGATGCTCATCAATAAGAGAATGAACAAAAATTATGTGGTATAGGCATATGATAACATTTTAATAATATTTTTAAAGAATTAATGAGCTTTTTATCAAAATTAATTCCAAAAATAACATTTACGGAGAAAGGAAAGATGCAATATTAAGATGATATTTTGCAGTTTAGGTGAACTTAAAAACTCAAAACAACACTCATATGCTATTTAGGAATACATATAACAAGACTGCACAAATACAGAAATTCCTAGTTTTATTTGCTTCAGAGAGAGAAAAATCAGAAAGTGTTAACTGTTTATAGGAGCTGCCCTATAAACACTAAATTTAAACATGAAGTTGGGACGATTATGCTAAAATGTTAACAGTCATTAATTTAAGAGGAAATAAAGTATTTACTACATTATTCTATCTTTTCTAACTTATGTAAACATTTTTCTCAAAACAAAAAGTAAAATGAGAAAATAATTAGCAAATAAGTGGCTTTTGCCTTTTGTAGAGATGCTAGTTAGATTAACTCCCATTTTAATAACTTAGTCATTTAGGAAGTGATGACATTTATAATTTTAGCTCAAAATTTCTACAGTATGTTTTACAATATACATTTTTCCTACTGAATTTTGTAATGTATACAGAACTGCATATTTTGCCAACTATTCTTTAGTTTTAATATTTAAGCAGACAATGGAAAGCAAATTAGATTTACTTCTAGAGTATGAAAAAAGAACTTATTTTTCTAAAGTAAAATATTTCAATGTATCTAGGAAGTCAGGCCAATTTGGAATACTTTAACACATTTATTTGTGATGAAACTGTTCAAATGCAATTCTGATTTAAGAGATTCTCTCACCCAACTTGATTCTCTCACTGAGTTATTTTTAAAAGATCAATTTATAGTCTGTTACACCCCCCAAAAGTTTCCCAAAACAAGGGTAATTACTTCTGCAGCACAGGTTGCAATCAGGTGGAAAAAAATGGGAGTTGGAAATCCTTTCCTTCTACTTCAAAATAAATTTTATCAAACAATAATTCACAAGTTATGTTTCTTTTTCTTTTTTTTAATAATTATCTGTTTACTGCCTTCCATTCCAAAGATGGAAGAATGACATTAAAAGTGGATCGTGGTGGGACCTGCAGGTGGCATAGTGGTTAAAGCACTGGACTACCACGGTTCAAGTCCCAGACCTGCCAGCCTGCTTTCTCAATCTCTCTCTCTCTCAGTCTCTTTCTCTTTCTGATCAAATTAAAAAATAATAACAGTAAAGAAAATTAAATAATTCTTTTTAAAAACTGGATTGTAGTGCAGAAACTTAGCCAAACAAAGTAAGAGAAATTCATCACATGAAAAAACATCTTTGTATTTCTTTAATAGTCATGTACAGAATTTAGAAGGAATATAAGACAAAGAGGGACTACACATACACTGTTAAGGAATCCAAGTCACCTTAAGGCAAGCTTTGAACTTTCTCACATTAATTAATGGTTCAAATCACTGACAATATTTAAAAGTTAAAAAATATAATACCCAATAATCCAGGGATGAACAATATCTTAAAATATTTAACTAACCATTTTCAATAGATATTTTCAGAAGTCTGTATTTTCCATTTCTGGCTCTGGCAAAGATATCTTTAACATCTTCACTTGCTGTGGGAAAAGATTAAGAAAAGTAAACCTATTGTTTTAAAAGTTATATATGAATACTTCGCTACCTACATGAAAAATATATATATATTACAATACAAAGAAAAGAACCTGTATTATGCAGCAGCCTCTTTTTATCAGAACCTTAAAACTTAAAAGCATGGAGGACCTGACAGTGGCACAAGGGAAAGTTTACAGTTCAAGTTCAGAGACCTCCCCTCAGTATAGAGGAAACCCAACCTCCTCCCCCCATGATCCAGGACTGGTGGAAGGCTAGGGGTAAATGGCAGCATTAAGACCCTGTTAGGAGTGCTTTCTGTCTTTCTCATGCGTGGAAAAAAATCAATCAATGAACTTCAAAACGAAAACTGAAAGGCATAAAATAGAGAACATTACATACAGCTAAGAAATACAAACCTTAATATATTCTAACAGATATTAATACTAATTTAATCTGTGCTAGATAATTCTGTAGCAGAAATAACACCTAAGTATATATACAGACTGAAGTTACTCAAACTCAATAATGGGAAAATTAAAATTTTACCAAAGAGCTTTACTGCTTTGAAAACTTCCTTTCATTCTCTCCTAGTTCAATCAAGTTTATTTTCAGAATCTTCCTATTAAAGCAATACTAAACATCAGATCTGATCAAAGCTATACTTCTTGTTATACCTTTTCTAACTTGTATTTCCCAAAAGCTGGGCATAAACTCATTGAGCAAATATATAATTAATATTCTAACTCTTACAATCCTAAGATCAACTTCATTCTAACTTCGTTGTCTATTAATAACATGAGCCACTATTTAAGTCGTGATTGCTATAAGGTTTAAGCATGACTGTCAGTAGTTACATATAAAAGTGACAAAATCCATGCGGACAAATAAAACAGTATGTTCAGATGTGAGACTATTTCCTTGTGCATGCGTGCAGGAGGACGTGTCGGGTGAGGTCAAAGACCCTTAAGAATAAAACACAATTAAGCGTTCATCTGGGAAAAGCATCTATTAATCAACAGCTTAGGTTTATATGAGAACTCGTTAAATGATCGCAAGTAACCCCGGGATATATTATTTGATTCTGATGAGATGAACGCTTCCAGGCTGCCCATTTTCAAACCAGGAAATAATGGAGGTCAGATATAATTGCACATTCAGCTGTCTGTACGGGTTGATTAAATGCAACCACACAGATCAGACTTCTTCAGCTTCTCTGGGGGTACCTAGGGAAAAGATCGGAAACACGCTCCACAACTCAGTATTCCTCAGAACATGATTCCTGTTCCCAATGTGGGAGAAAATGAGAGTATGGGAAGCACCCCTATTGGTTTCAGGAAGTCTGGCATGTTTCTC